CCTTGTGGTTGTTCTGTGTCTCTGTGGTTGTTTTGTGTCTCTTTGTGGTTGTTCTGTGTCTCTGTGGTTGTTTTGCGTGTCCTTGTGGTTGTTTTGCATCTCCTTGTGGTTGTTCTGTGTCTCTTTGTGGTTGTTTTGTGTCTCTTTGTGGTTGTTTTGTGTGTCCTTGTGGTTGTTCTGTGTCTCTGTGGTTGTTTTGTGTCTCTTTGTGGTTGTTCTGTGTCTCTGTGGTTGTTTTGTGTCTCTTTGTGGTTGTTTTGTGTCTTTGTGGTTGCTGTGTGTCTCTTTGTGGTTGTTTTGTGTCTCTGTGGTTGTTTTGCATCTCCTTGTGGTTGTTCTGTGTCTCTGTGGTTGTTTTGTGTCTCTTTGTGGTTGTTCTGTGTCTCTGTGGTTGTTTTGCATCTCTTTGTGGTTGTTTTGCATCTCCTTGTAGTCATTTTGTGTCTCTTTGTGGCTGTTTTGTGCCTCTTCGTAGATTTTTTTGCATCACCTTGTTGTTGTTCTGTGTCTCTGTGGTCATTTTGTGTCTCTTTGTGGTTGTTTTGCGTCTCCTTGTGGTTGTTTTGTGTCTTTTTGTAATCGTTTTGCATCTTCCTGTGCCTGTTTTGAGTCTCTTTGTTGTCATTTTGCGTGTGGCTGCTATAGCGGTTTCATCTATCACACTTACTATCACACTTACTCAAACTGTTGGTTAATAGTAACAAACATGTCAGAGGCTTTTCCAGCCAGAGAACATTCTGTATTTGGTGTCAGATCCCGAGTTAATAATTTCTTTTTTCAGAAAACAAGCTTTGTTATCAAAAAGTCATTTTGCCTTACTAATGAGTCCAGCTGACGCTGATGAGAATGTCATTAGTTCTGCAAGTATTTGATCATTACAATTAATCCTTGAGGGGAGCGTGAATGATGAAGCACATTTCATCACAATCCATTAGTTCATGAGATATTTCAGTCTGAAGCAAAGTGAAGGACAGGCAGACATTTGCATCCACGGACCCCCAAATAAATGTACAACAGTGGCATAAGGCACAGGACCCAGTGCACGCTATCATGATGGGTCCTACTGCGCCCTTGTTATTAGTTATTGATATTAATCACACACACACACACACACACACACACACACACACAGTTCTAGGCATATATAGATTTTACTGCTGCTTTTATGTCATATCCGCTTGCAGCAACACATTCTCACCCTGACGTTGTCACATATTGACGTTTGGACTCTCCACATTGAGATATGATGTGCAAGGTACCCTGGGTGTGCTGCTTCTGGACGCCATGTCAGCTTCAGCCTGTTACATGCATTGTCTGTTTTCAGAATACTCTTCCATCTTCACAGGACATTTAATGTTTACATACAGTCTCTTTCAAAATAAAAGCACTACGTCGGTACAACACCGTCAATTGACGTTTTTTAACTTCAACAACAAAAACACGGGGTAAGGTTTAGGGAAAAGAACAGGGTTTGGCTTTATAGTCTTACAGGAAGTGAACACCAGCCTTCCAGGTGAATGTCTGTGGTTGTAGGACCATCCACCACCCCTCCTGCCTTAACTTTTGTTGTTGTCCCACTGCATTGCCCCCTGTCGTGGCGACATCACTGATTAAGCGGCAGTTTTCAGCAACTTAGGAGTGAGACCAGGTCGCTTGCAGATGTGCTCAGCTTGTCAGTCTTGAGAGATTTTGCACCTTAACTCGCTGCTGTAAATCGAAGAATCAGAGTTTCAATAAAGGATAAAAAGGTTGCCTCTCGTTATGTTATGTTTTAATTGTTAATTGTTAATTTAATTGTCCATTTTTTATGTCCTTTGTTAGTTTTGTATTTTGTTGTCAACTATAAAAAAAATTTTTGAAAAAAAAAAACAAAACACAAAAACATGTTACCCAGCAATCGTCATCACATATCTGCATATGACAAAAACTACAAAAGAAAACAGGAAATTATTCATTTAACTAAATAGTTTTTATAGTTAAATTATATATTTTTTTGTAGACTTTAGGTGAATAAGCATCTTATTTAGTTATAGATTCATACTACTTTACAAAAACAGAAAATCATGATGGAGATGGGTTTGCAATTTTTGATTTAATGCAAGTTCTCCTTTAAACACGGGCGTATTTCCAGGTGGCAATCAGGCCCCTCCACCCAGCGGGCCCCAGTGCAACCACACCTGCACTGTCTCTATTTACGCCCCTGATGTAAGACAAACATTTTCTGCCCTGTGGAGGAGTCGCCTGGTTCATAACAGCTCAAAATCTGCATGTTAGCATAATCAGTAAAATATAGTGAAAGTAGTAGAAGGATAAAAATGTCCCGTGTGACTGTAAAACTCATATATGATCTGATTCTGACTGATTTTGCTGTAGTTGGTTGGGGTGGAGCTCATTTTGAAATATTAACTAATGATTATTTTCATTATGGATTAATCTAATGATTATTTTTTCCATTAATCAATTAATCGATCGGTTTGTAAAAAGAGTGAAATAATGTTTGTCACAATGACCCAAAGTGACACCTCCACACGAACAGTCCAAACCTCAACTGTATTATTACTATATGGTCATTATTAAGATTATTCAAAGGAAAAGCTTGTGAAGCATTTAATATAGGATATATATTTTATTTGTTTAACATGAAAAATGAATTGAACCATCAAAGTAATTTCACTTGAGCTTCGTTTCAGCCGCATCGCTGAGGAGTTTCATTTGTAACAAAGCATTATATTTCATAAAACTGAGACATTTTTCATCACAGCACGAGGACATAATTTACTTTCTGAGGAATTAAGTGAGTGTGCGCGCGGCTGTACGTGTTGAGCCGCTGGACGTCGTGAACGCGCCTCGCGGTCTGCTGTCAGTCGGTGGATCAGAGCGCGCGGAGGAGAAGCAGCTTCAGGTCTGTGTCACCAATTATTATTTTCTTTATTAAAATGTCAGCTCAGAGCGCAGACAACACGTCTCTTCGTCTCTTAAATGATGTGGTTTACATTAATTATTAATGCAGCGTCTTCAGCACAGTGAAACATGAATGTCGGATTTTATATTTCACACAGTCAGTGTGGATTTTCACCTGAAAACTTTCTGCTTATTGTGAATGTTTTGGGTTTAAAGTGCTGCAAATACCGGATGTGAAATATCTTAAATGATTCAACACGTGCGTCCTGCAGAAATATTTAGTCTTATATTGCATATTAATATAATAGGCTATATCTGTGAGTTGTGCTGTTGCAGAGATCCTCACTGCTCCCATATGCTTCTCCTCATTGTTTGTTGTTTGTTTTTGTTTGTATGTTTTTTTAAATTCATATTTTTAATGGAAATAGTATCTCACTCCCTGATGAGGGTCCCTGAAGTGTGGTCTGGGGACTCGACAGGTCCTGTAGAGAGTTCAAGGGGTCAAAAGTCCAAAATTGTTTCTTCTTCTTCTTCTTCTTCTTCTTATTCTTATTATTATTATTATTATTATTATATACTCTACAAGCTGACACCACAAAGTTTCAATGAAACAATTTGATGCTGTAATTTTGACTCATCATAACTGCTAAATTGGACAGATGTTCATAATAATGTACAATATCACTTACATTTATATTCATATTGTGGCGTGCTGGGGCTGAATTGGGGAGTTTCCCAGCATGCCATGCGACGATGTGTTGGTAACTGTGTTTAAATGTGTGTTAAATCTGTCATGTGTCACCTGCTCTGCTGTGATTAATGTTCATGCATCTGACAGAAGTTGTTACAGTTAATGCTGCATCATATTTGCACCATGTGACGTCCTGCCTGTGTGCAGATATGAAGGTGAAGCGTGAGGTGTGTTACTATTCTTAAGCACACTCACTGGTGCACAGATCATTATCTGAACTGAAGCTGCTGCTTGACAATATTTTGCACAGTGTTCAGTATCTTCAGACATGGTCACAGTGTGTATTAGCTGTCATATCAGAGAGCTGTGTTCTGATCAGGGTGGAGAAATATCTGAAACAGAATTTTGATTAGACAACACATTGTTTAACCTGCTCCTGAAACCTGGCACCTCTTAGTCCACTTAGTGGGCTGGATTGGACCCTTTGGCGGGCCAGTTCTGGCCCACGGGCCGTATGTTTGACACCCCTGATTTACAAATTGCATACACTGGATGTACAGTTATGGATGAATATTTGTTTGGCTTGTTTACTGCTGCCTTTACAAGTGAAGACGTCAGTTTTCAAAGTAAAGTATCAGTAAAGGATCAGTTTTATTTTATTGTGTTCATACATTGAACTGTTTCTCATGTGCACTTTCTCTCTAATAAGTTGTTTTTGTGAAGTTACAGTCCTTTCTGGAAAACAACTCTGTTTTTGAAAAATTCCGCTCTGGGTTCAGGTCTCGTCATAGCACTGAGTCTGCCTTGCTAAAGGTGCACAGTGATATTGTACTGTCTGGTGATGCCAAGTGCCTGTTGTCTTAGTTCTGCTAGATCTCACAGCAGCCTTTGATACAGTGGACCATACAGTCCTCCTGTCACGCCTGAATCACTATGTTGGCTTTCGCGGCACTGTACTTGAGCGGTTTACGTCTTATTTGTCCGATAGAACCTTTTCTCCTCTGTTCTCTCCATTGGCTTCCTGTCCATTTTAGAGTTGATTTTAAACTTTTAATGTTTGTTTTTAAAGCTCTCAACGGCCTTGCCCCATCCTGTTTATCTGAGATTTTAACTGTTGTGAGCATGGCAGGGCTTTGAGGTCATCCAACCAACTTTTGTTGGAAGTGCCCAGGTCTAAGTATAAACACTGGGGTGACAGAGCCTTTTCAGTTGCTGCACCCAGGCTCTGGAATAAGCTCCCCTGCGACATGCGTGCTATCTCTGACCTGGGCCTCAAAACTTAAAACTTATTTATTCAGGATGGCTTTTAATACCCAGTAGTGTGGCAATACTTTTATTCTTTTATTCTTTTTTATTCTTTTATTCTGTGTTTTAATTGTATGTTATATTCTGTAAAGCACTTTGGTTCACCTGTGGGTTGTTGTAAAGGGCTGTATAAATAAAGAACATTTACATTTAAGGAATCTCTAAAAGTAAGAATAATGCGGACACATCATCAGTGTTGTATCGTAAGCAACTGGACTTGCTTGAGTGTCTTGAAGACGTTTCGCCTCTCATTCAAGAGGCTCCTTCAGGGCTGAGTCCAGTTGCCTACGATACAGCACTGATGATTACCATGACCTGGATGACTGAGAATCTTCACAGACAATAGACTGTTAAGACTGAATAACCATGATGATGTCTTCAATGTGCTTTTGTGTCTGACTAACAGACAGAAACCTTAAATCAGAGGTGTCAAACATAGGACTCGTGGGCCAGAAATGGATCTGGGTCCAATCTAGGCTAAGGCTGCTTTCACACCTGCCCTGTTTGGTTCGGTTCAATGGAACTCAAGTCTGTTTGCCCCCTCAGTGTCGTTTGATTGGGCAGGTGAGAACACAGCAATCACACTCAGGTGTGAACACACCAAAACAACCGGACCGAGACCTTCTTGAAGAGGTGGTCTCAGTCCGGTTCCAAAGGAACTCTGGTGCAGTTGGTTTGTGGTGAGAAGGTGTTACGACCTGGATGTGAAGCAACTGCAGTCACATGACACATTGTTTGGGTTAAACATGAGCATGTTACAGTCCTGGAGGATTATTAATGTGCACCTCCTCCTGTACTGCCTTAATATGCACATTCAGCACATCCAATGCATCAAAACATTGTTTTCTAGTTGGAGCCGCGCCTCGTTTTCAAACTGTATGGTTTGACTAAAATGAGCAATGACAGCAATATAGTCCACGATGAGTAGCGCTAAAATCAACCTGCGTAGTTGTCCCTCCATTGTGACATTAGAAAGTGTCACATTTATCTTGCAAGTGTACTCTTCTTCAACGTTTGCTTTACTTCCTGGATTTTTCCCACATGGAAATTCTGACCAATCAAGAGCAGCTTTCTCACACAAGGCATTTGATCTGGTCCTCTTGTAAATGCTGCCGTGAGAACACAAACCAACTCTAGGCAATTATACAACTTTGGAACAACATGAGTCCCTGATTCAGACCAAAGGAGACGACTCTAGGGCTGACAGCAGCCTGAGAGAGGTTTCAGGAGCTAAACAATGTGTTGCCTATAATTCTTCTTCAGATATTTCTCCACCCTGATCAGAACACAGCGCTCTGATATAATAATGAATGCTTACTGTGACCATGTTTAAAGATATTGAACACTGTGCAAAATATTGTCAAGCAGCAGCTTCAGTTCAGAAGAGTCTGTGTCAGGAAATGTGTGGATTAATGCACATGTAATGACGGTGAGACGTAGACGAGTGAATGTGGAAACACTGAGACATATTGTTGAAATTGCACTTATTCTTCTTAAGACAGCTCAGGCTGTTCATGTGTTTTGTAAAAGGATGAACGTCTACAGAATGTACTTGTAATTCTTTGCACAAAAGAAGGGAAAATACTGGGCTACAGTGCGACGGTGATGTTAGTGTGGCCCATCTGAGATCACATTGGGCTGTATGTGGCTGTATGAACTAAAATGAGTTTGACACCACTGCCTTGAATATTCAATTTACTGTCAGTAACGACAAAAAACCCTCACATATGAGAAGCTGCAGCCAGAGAATATTTCAGCATATTATGTTTTAACAGCTGCTAAAAGGAGTCATTACTTACAACAATAAATATTGAATGAGAGTAATGTGAGACAGGTGGAACCATCATAGAAACATGTACATATACATGTACACACATGTAATATATATCCGTTAACAGACTGCAGTAATTTACTATGGAAGCCCACTCATGCTGGGAAAATAGGTTAATGCATGAAAGGTTTAGATCAACACTAATCCTTCGTTTATAGATGAAGCTTTCCTCATGAGTTACATTTAATGAAGGAACACTTTGTTCCTTAAATATAACGTGGTGCACTGACCTACAGCAGGGAGCTGCGGCTGAGGACGGCGCGCTTGAGTCAGCATTTATTAAATATTAATTAAATGACCTGCTGTGTTGAAAGCATTATTTATTTCACACCTTCTTTCTGCAGAGTTTCATTCACTGACTCTCACTGTCCTGTCATTGAGAAATAAAAAAAAAAACTTTATGTATGTTATCAAAGACAGTGGAGACACCTGTGAAGACGTCTGTGTGATGAAGCACCAGCTGATCTTTTGACTTATCAAATTAAGATTCAACCGTGTGTGTATTTTGTATGGAAGCCCATTCATGCCAAGGAAATAAAAACATGCATGAAAAATTAATGTTCTTCTACAATCATTAAATTGTTTACATTTGTAAATTATTTTGTTGTTTGAGTTGCAGTTTATTAATAAATTTTAAACAGTTTTTTCAAATGCAGCTTTTTTCAATCTATAATGATATAAAGTAATGGTAAAATTAGTAAACCCCCCAAAACTGAATTTTTAAAAGTTATTTTGTCAAGTCTTACTCGTTATTATTTAAAAAGATAGATGTAAATGATCGTTTTTTTTTTCCCCGTTAAAGGGGTTTTTTTTGGGGAGTTTTTCCTTATCCGCTGTGAGGGTCTTAAGGACAGAGGGATGTCGTATGCTGTAAAGCCCTGTGAGGCAAATTGTGATTTGTGATATTGGGCTTTATAAATAAAATTGAATTGAATTGAATTGAACAACTTATGTACTTAAAGAACAGACATATTTGTGCTTACTGATGCTGTTGCCACGGGAGATAAAAATAACCCCCCCCCCCCCTTTACATTATAGATTGTGATTATAATTCTAACATAAGGAGTCAAATTCTAACTATCTGCAAAATGTCAACTTTTGAGATGTCACGCCATCATAATTTTATCTCTTTTATTATTTCTTAAATAAAGTAATATTCCAACTCTTGCACAATGCTTTGTTAGTTTTGGACATTAAGGATGTCATAAATTTACACTCGTTAAATGCATAGTGTCACTTCAAAATCTGTTTTCGCCATCCTTTAACGTCGGCATGATACACGGCTGGTTGCCATTATACTTTAACAGTACGCGGTGGCGTCAGCGGGAAACACGGAGGGATAAGAACAAAAGTTAAGGCAGTGAAAGTCCAAGTAAAGTGGGTGGGTCCAACAAACAGCAACTTTCATCTGAGAGAGCAGTGTTCACGTCCCATAAGATTCTAAAGCCAAACCCTGTTCTTTTTTCCTAAACCTAACCACGTGTGTTTGTTGCTTGAGGAAAAAAAAACATCAATTTGTGTTGTTGTACCAACATTGTGCTTTTATTTTGAAAGAGACTGTATGCAAACGTTAAATTTCCTGTGAAAACAGAAGTGTATTTTGAAAACAGACAATGCATGTAACAGGCTGAAGTTGACACGGAGTCCCAGAACGTCAACAACCAACACACCCAGGGTACCTTGGACGTCATATGTGGACGTGGAAAGTCCATGACAAAAACATCAATGAGTGACGAGGTCACAGCGAGGATGATGATGGTTTTCACAGGAAATGTACAGTTTCTGCTCTTTACATGCACACAGTCTTTTTCACAACAAGCGTACTACACAGGTGAAATACTTTGTTTGTTAGGTCCCTTGCGTTGCTTAGCTTTATGTGCGTGACATACGTGATGTGACGCATCACCAGCGCAATATGCTGAATATACTAACACAATACGTTGTTATTAGAACAACTCAAATGACTTTTTGTTTCACACGGGGAAACGAACACTCAGGTAAAAGTACAGAGTTTGTTTGACTCACCCACCTCCCCTCACTCCCTCCTACCAACTCACTTGCTCTTTATACTACGGTGGTTGCCGGGGGCGTTACAAACTGCAGTGTGTATCGTACTGCTGCGAAGGGTGCCTCTGTGTGTTGGTGTCTCACGTCAACGTCCACTGACAAAGCGGCAGTGCTTGATAGGTTGAGTTGTTGCCCGCTGCGTCAACAACTGTGGCTGCCTGGTGTGTATCATACCTCAGTGAAAGGTGCCTCTGTGCGTCGGTGACCCAGAGATCACTGACAAAACAACAGTATTTGATGAGTTGTGAGTGAGAACAGGTGCGTATACCAACACACTCTCACTCCGACCTCGTCACATGTCCACGTTTGGTCATTGACTCTCTGTGTTGAGACACGACGTCCAAGGTACCCTGGGTGTGTTGGTTGTTGGCGTTCTGGGACGCCGTGTCAACTTCTGTTCACTTCATTGTCTGTTTTCAAAATACACTTCTGTTTTCACAGGAAATGTAGTTTGCATACAGTCTCTTTCAAAATAAAAGCACTACGTTGGTACAACACCCTGAATTGACGTTTTATTTCCTCCAACAAAAAAAGAAAGAACAGTGAAAGTTGGTGGTTGTTGGACCCATCCACCACCCGTCCCACTCACCCTCCTCGCTTTTCCAGTGACTTAACTTTTATTATTGTCCCACTGTGTTTCCCCCTGATGGCGTAAGGCGCCGTTAAAGAATAACAGCAAACACCCATGTATCAATCCAATGTGAAAGGGCGGCTTTTTCGTTGGTGTCTGATGCCAGAAGTCGCTGACAAAATATCAGATTTCCACGACTTCGGAGTGAGACCGGGCTGCATATTCTGAATAATAATTAAGAAATTTACAAAATTTTTATCATCCCTAAATCATCTTCGTTTATTGATTCCTTTGGCATAAAAAGACTTCCATACTGGTCACATTAATTCAGGAAACTGCTGTTTTAATCTGACATAATCTAATATGACCTACAGCAGGTATGAATGAGCACGTCGAGCTGTACGAGTGACGACGTTAAAGGATGAATTTATTTCACAGACTGGATGAATGCTCCTGCTGCAAACACTGACTCCCAGTGCTTTATTAACTCAAGTACTACACTTTATTTGAGGTGCTTGTACTTTAATCGAGTCTCTGTTTGTGACACTTTCTGCTTCACTACATGTATCTGACTTTATAAATTAAATATTTTGCACACAAAACATATGAAGAGTTTTGTTATATATCACATTCCAACAGTTTCTTAAACATTAGCCCAATATTTACAGACTGACAGAAAATTCACTTTACACTCTCCTGATTAAACGGACACACTTTTACTGAGGGAACTTTTTCAATGCAGGACGTTTAATTGTAATGGAGTATTTCCTCAGTGTGGTATTAGTACCTTTACTGAAGTAATTAATCTGAAACCTTCCTCCAGTGCTGCTGACTCCTGCTGATCAGTGATGATCTCTGATGCCGCCGACATCAAACAGTCTGATGCAAAGCTCTTGTGTCGGAGCGGTAAACAGGAGGTTTTCAGACGTCAAAGCGGAGATGCAACATTCCTCAATCTGCGGACAAATCTAACAAGCAGACTATATGAGCACGGTAACCTAGCAACACCATCAGCCAAACGAAAACAAAACAAAAATGATGCATCAAAAAACTCAGACCCAACATTTCTGAAGTTACACTGAGCAGCCAAACAGCTGTCAGTATGTCAAACACTAAATCTAGTGTGTGTACTGTGTGTGTGTGAGAGGCCAGGGTTTACTCTGGCCTTCTCTCAGTGCATGCTGGGATAGGCTCCAGTGACCTGCCACCTTGTACAGGATATTAAAGCTCCAGTTATATCCTGTTTTCTTCTTACTGTGACTGACAAGACTCAAACCACCACTGAATGTATCTGTTAACATGTGTCAGCCACAGACGCCAGAACAAAATGTCGGCTTTGCATGTTTCTGCAAAACAGGACCATGTTACCTTTACACGTTTCATGTGTATCATATCAAAGTTTCTTAAGTGACGTAGTACAAGAATTGACTTGTCATCAGGAGGTGGAGGGGATGGTGGTCGGCGTGTAGGTGAAACGCCTGTCAAGACCAACACACAACAAAATCAGTTGTGATTTAGTGAGTCGTTGCTGCTTCTCCAGGAGCTTTCAAGCCTCCAAATGTGGGTGTTTTGTTCCGACCTGTCACTGCTTTTACAGAGCGGATTGTGCCACAAAAGCAGTGGTTTTCCAGCAGGAATAGTGCTGCCACAAATACTCACTAGAGCACCAAGTATGGATTAATCCGCCGTTGAAAATAGTCCCCAACAAGTGCACTATTTCCTCCTGTTGTTTGATAAAAACTAAATTACAGCTGTTTGAGGAAATTACTAAAACTTTTCTCCCTACATGATGTCATACTTACTCGTCATATTTTGTTGCCTGGGCAGAAGTCTTGGGCGTTACTTCAGCCCAAAGATTTGCAACAAGACAAAACCGTTTCAGAACGTCACAGAGAAAAGTGTCAGGGGTGTGAACTGGCCAGCCTGAGCTTGACTCAAGCTGGCTGATGGTGTCATCTGACACTCAGCTGGTCAAATTTAGAAGGTTGCAGAACGACGCATTGTAAGTAGTTCCCCCGTTCAACTTCGTTGCGAATCTTTGGTCTGAACTGGGCTTAAAGTGACTCCGGGGGCAGCCCTTTGCTTTGTGTCTTGACGCAGAAGGCAACAACGTTAAGAGGAGGTTGGCGTTTAGGTTTAGGAAGCAAAACTACTTGTAATGGTAAAGAAAGGATTGTTGTTAACATTTGTCTTGTGAAGTGACTCACTTAAGGGGTTTGTTGTTCGGTTTCGGCAACAAGACTACTTGGTTATGGTTTGTAAAAGATGACAGATGCTGCTGAAGAACATCTGGCTTGGAGGGGCACAAACACAGCAGTCGATATTGTTGTTTGTTGGTCTCGAACACTGATCTCCTCAAAATCTGGTGTTTGTTGGACCCGTCCACCGTCCTCCTGCCAACCCTGGGCAGACTTCAGATCCGATCAGTTCACATTACATCACATCACATCACATCAGACTATTTATCCCATGGGAAGTTGCTGTGCAGCAGTTGCAATATAAAGTTAGAGGAGCGCAGATACAAAAAAGCAATGTGTAGAGAAACATATAATTCATAGCAAATATAAAACTAAATATAAATGAAATAACAGTGAGACTCAAAATATAAAACCCAGCTAGCTCACAATAAGGTGCAAACAGGTTCAACCACAAACTATATCAGTTGCTCTGAGCATCTTATCATGACATGGACGGGTTTACATTGAGTTGGAAAGCCTGGTGCATCTCATACAGACACTAAACAGCATCCCCGGCGTCGTTATAGTGACGAAGGATACAGTGACCAAGCAGCATATTTCGACACCCTGGGAGTGACACCAGGCTGTTTCTCCACAATTCAAATGATTGTGTTGTCCTACAGCCTCTGTCCTCACATTACAATCTTCATTATAACTCTGATTGCTCTAAGAGGAACTGCAGCTACAGCTCAAAGCCAGCTGCTCCAAATGAGGTGGAAAGTTTAATACTGACTTTGGAGACAGAAGTTAACAAAACTATCTCGCCACACAGTCCTCTACTAGCCTTCATCTTCAAGTGCACCCGAGTCTCTTCCTCACACGGAGTTGTGTTCAGTTGGTTAAAATGTATGAGCTTATCAAGGATTTCTCGACCACGTTTGCTTAAAAGTCGAGACCATAGATTCACTCTTGACGTTGAAACATTCGGAGACAGATGTAACCAGTGTCACCATGAGGTCCCTTTAGTAGCTGTTCAGGGGCTTTTGATTACATCACGAATTTCCTCCAGCAGGATCTCAACTTTCCCGCCACCTCAGAGAGGTGCTCAGAAAAATGGAAATTCGTACACTGACAATTCCATAAAAACTGTGTGAACTCTATCTGCCGATCATGTGATAAAATCGAGTTATTGTTTCACCAGGATCAAAGTCTAAGTTTGTTTTCTTTTAATTTCCTGCACCTTCCCTGCAGACACTCCTACCTGAGCATGTTGACCTGATTCAAGATGGACGACCCGACCAACAGCAGTGTGGCTCTAACAGACTACTTCCTGGCTAGTGACGGCCTGGACTACGAGATTCCTCTGGACGAGATCCCGGACACCACGCAGGGCCGGGCCTTCTTTGTAGCCATGATCGTCATCGCAGTGGTCCTGGTGGGTATCATGTTGGTCTGTGGCGTTGGAAACTGTCTGTTCATCGCCAGCCTCGCCCGCTACAAGCAGCTCCGCAACCTGACCAACCTGCTAATCGCCAACCTGGCCGTGTCCGACGTGCTGGTGGCGGTGGTGTGCTGTCCCTTCCTGCTAGACTACTACGTGGTGAAGCAGCTGTCATGGGATCACGGCCTGCTACTCTGCGCCTCCACCAACTACCTGCGCACCGTCTCTCTCTACGTGTCCACCAACGCCCTGCTGGCCATCGCTGTGGACAGGTGAGTCCACCTGAGCATTCATCAAAAACAGCGTAGTCCGAGCTAATGCTTCCTCACCTCCTCTTTCTTCCTGTCACCCAGAAGTCGTTTTGCCTCCCTTATCATGGAGGATCGTTCAACCCCCTAAATGTGCCTCCAGGAGACCAGGATAGAGGAGGCTTCTGGAAAAGCTTAGAGCAATGAAACACAGATGTATCCATCTGTGTTTCATCTGTAGCAATAGTTATGTATTCTAAAATAAAAACATACCGGTGTGGATGCAGCCTGAGATAAACAGTTATGTTTGGTCCGGCACGTCTAGGGCTTCTGGAGATGAGAGCAGAGCAGAGGGGGACCAGACACATCTGCCAGAGCAAATAAAACCTGAGCTCACAGATTCATCTGGTTTCCAGGCAAACAAATTTCATGCAAGCTTGTGCAAATATGTACAGACGTTAGGACTCCATACTGTGTACTTACCGTTTGTTGTAGTTCTATGTTGCACAAACTGCCGTAACGCTTAAATTCACCTGCACACACAATTAGACCACAGACTGACTAAATAACAGGTAAAAGTAGCACGCACATCCCAAAAAGATTAATGCTGGGTGCTGGACCAAAAGGTAAGTATGGAATAAAAAGATAAAGTCCACACACCAGAAGCTGCTCCTTGAACAATTTATTCATGTATTGTTACATTTCGGGCCCCTGCCCTTCATCAGACCAGACTCTGATGAAGGGCAGGGGCCCGAAACATAACAATACATGAATAAATTGTTCAAGGAGCAGCTTCTGGTGTGCGGACTTTATCTTTTTATACCACAGACTGACTGTCACCTCTTGGTTGATCAGGTTAAACTTCATGGCTCTTGGCAGCATGATCAATCTAAATGACTGTAAGTCAGTTACAGTTTCACAATTTTTTTTTATGGGTACTTTTTTGAGACACCTTTCCATTAAATTCATGGGGGTAAAGAAATTGGGGGTTACCAACAAGCCCTCTAAACTGTACAGCAACATATGTCCTGAGCAACACAGCAGTGTTCTCTGATGTGATGCTCCTATCAGCAGGATGACATCACTGTCTAAAACATTTACAAAAACTGACATATGAATCTATTTTATGGTGTGGTTTGCTTTAGGCACAAAAATGACTTGGTTAGGTTCAGTGAGAGATCCAAATGACGACTGTGGGAGCTTTGTGGGGTACAGTATGTGTCACAGTCACAGCTGGAAAAGGCAGCCGTTCCTTGTGCCAAGGACTCAAACACAGACAAAAACTTACAGTATCACAGGGTAAGTAGGTGATAAACAGGCAGCAGGTCAAAATCCGTGTAAATCCAGAACAGTTCATGGATACAAATGACTGAGAGACTTTGATGAACTGGCAGAGAAACAAAAGATCTGCAGCTGTGAGTAGTGAGAGACTGATTAGGGAAGGAGGTGCAGGTGGGAAGAGGAGGCAGGGAAGGTGAGGTAACTACAGGGCTGACGAGGAAAGAGGGAACAGGTGTGTAGATGGGTGGAGCAGTCAGGTGATGAGGAGATGAGGGAAAGTCAGAGGACAGCTAGTGGATGGATGGAAAATGGCAATGAAGGGGCAACAGGGGAACAGACAGGACGAGGCCGAATGAGCTGAGACACCATTTGGTTCAACACCTACACACTATACAGCAAGGTCTTATGATGAGGTATCTTGAAGTTGCTCTGGTTTGCCAGCCCATTCTCATTCAGAACTCGACAAATACTGCCGCCAAACCATGATGTTTTCTTTGAAACCTAACAAAGTGCTTTTGTTGCACAAGGGAATAAATATAAATATAAATACAAGGTGTTTTACCAATGTTGTGAGTTTGGCCCAATTCCAATCCGATCCCTTACAGACTCACTGACTTAGAGGCGCGTTCATGTGAAGTGCGTGAGTGTGTGAGGGCTGTCCCACGGTCATATCGTCAAGTCAGTGAGTCAGTGAGTGAGCCCTTTATGCCCCCTTACCGTAGGTCAGCATCGATGCGGACTTGCGGTAAGGAAATTACCCACAGTTCATAGCGTTGTGACGTCAAATACAGGGGTTGCCCTCGGAACACCGGAAGTCTTATAAAAAAAACCCCGAAAACACGGTCGGCAGATATGCAAACTGTAACGTTATGGAAGGAGAGCGAAAAAACAGATAGATAAACAATGAAACATTACATTAACAAGGATTTAAGATGGTACATAAACACACATGAAGTCAGAGGAATACCAGTGGTTATATTCCACACACAAAGAATATCTATCTATATATCTATCTATCTATAGATATATATAGATATATATGCTGACAATAACCGATAAACGATCACGCCCAGAGCCGCCAATGTTAACAACATTTTGTAGAGAGGGGGATAAGAGCTGTCCCATTCCTATTTGTAGCATCCGGAGCCCTTTCAGACTCTCACACTCAATCACTTACAGCTGACGTCAGTTAAGTCAGTGAGGGTTCAGGGCTTGAGTCTTTAGGGGCCGGATTGGAATTGGGCCTTTATTTTGAAAAAGACTGTATGCATCTAATGAGCAGAAACTGCACAGTATTTAGAAAAGACTCAAAGCATTTAAATTGACATGCTGTCCCGGAACGTCAACACCAAATGCAGGAGGATGCCTAACACGTAATATGTAGATGTGAACGGCACTGACGCATCAATATCTGACAAGTTGGGACGAGAACGCGTTGGGTTTGCACATGAGGGCATGGTCACACGGGTAAATATCATCCTCTGCTGAGGTGATATTTGTGCTTCGTATGGGCAGTGCCAGATTTGATGTACGCAGAAAGCTAGCTTGCTAGCTAATGTTGTCTAGCTTGCGAATAAACAACACAAAATAAAATGTTATTGGCACGTGTTTCATTTTCATGTCTGTATTTTTTAGGGCCAATGTCACACAATATCAGCTGGGTAAACACGGGAACTATCAGTGTCTCCTGCTCATACGTCTTTGCTATTTGTTGAGGTCACCGAAGTTGAACTCTACGTTACTTTGCCACTGGAAACAAATGCTTTATTCGCCCCTTTGCTTGTGCTGAATAGAAGTGGACAGGAGGCCAATATTCGCTGGTGTTAATTTCGCTCATGTGTGACCGCATAGTTACACAAGTGATCAGCAACAGGGGGTCACATTACAAAACATTTTTGTCGTGAAGTTATACAGGGAAAGACACAGGAGACAGACGCTCTTTTCTCCAAAAATGGATGTCTACAAGAAGCTAAAGATCCACGTTGTCTGTGCGCTGATTTGCAGTCAAACACCAGGAAGACAGAATTGCTGGTTGCGACTCCTCCCCCCTTTTCCTCGCCCTGTATCTTGCGCTCTCATTAGGTTGGTTGTCGCTGCTGTCTAACTAATTTTACACAACAGGATTTGAACTCACGGACAAGTCCAGATAATTAACCTACTAGTTATCTCTCGGATATCTGCAACAGACAGATCATGTCTTTGAAAATGTACAGTACAGGCCAAAAGTTTGGACACACCTTCTCATTCAATGCGTTTTCTTTATTTTCATGACTATTAACATTGTAGATTCTCACTGAAGGCATCAAAACTATGAATGAACACATGTGGAGTTATGTACTTAACAAAAAAAGGTGAAATAACTGAAAACATGTTTTATATTCTAGTTTCTTCAAAATAGCCACCCTTTGCTCTGATTACTGCTTTGCACACTCTTGGCATTCTCTCCATGAGCTTCAAGAGGTAGTCACCTGAAATGGTTTCCACTTCACAGGTGTGCCTTATCAGGGTTAATTAGTGGAATTTCTTGCTTTATCAATGGGGTTGGGACCATCAGTTGTGTTGTGCAGAAGTCAGGTTAATACACAGCCGACAGCCCTATTGGACAACTGTTAAAATTCATATTATGGCAAGAACCAATCAGCTAACTAAAGAAAAACCAGTGGCCATCATTACTTTAAGAAATGAAGGTCAGTCAGTCCGGAAAATTGCAAAAACTTTAAATGTGTCCCCAAGTGGAGTCGCAAAAACCATCAAGCGCTACAACGAAACTGGCACACATGAGGACCGACCCAGGAAAGGAAGACCAAGAGTCACCTCTGCTTCTGAGGATAAGTTCATCCGAGTCACCAGCCTCAGAAATAGCAAGTTAACAGCAGCTCAGATCAGAGACCAGATGAATGCCACACAGAGTTCTAGCAGCAGACCCATCTCTAGAACAACTGTTAAGAGGAGACTGCGCCAATCAGGCCTTCATGGTCAAATAGCTGCTAGGAAACCACTGCTAAGGAGAGGCAACAAGCAGAAGAGATTTGTTTGGGCCAAGAAACACAAGGAATGGACATTAGACCAGTGGAAATCTGTGCTTTGGTCTGATGAGTCCAAATTTGAGATCTTTGGTTCCAACCGCCGTGTCTTTGTGAGACGCAGAAAAGGTGAACGGATGGATTCCACATGCCTGGTTCCCACTGTGAAGCATGGAGGAGGAGGTGTGATGGTGTGGGGGTGTTTTGCTGGTGACACTGTTGGGGATTTATTCAAAATTGAAGGCACACTGAACCAGCATGGCTACCACAGCATCCTGCAGCGACATGCCATCCCATCCGGTTTGCGTTTAGTTGGACGATCATTTATTTCTCAACAGGACAATGACCCCAAACACACCTCCAGGCTGTGTAAGGGCTATTTGACCAAGAAGGAGAGTGATGGAGTGCTGCGGCAGATGACCTGGCCTCCACAGTCACCGGACCTGAACCCAATCGAGATGGTTTGGGGTGAGCTGGACCGCAGAGTGAAGGCAAAGGGGCCAACAAGTGCTAAACACCTCTGGGAACTCCTTCAAGACTGTTGGAAAACCATTTCAGGTGACTACCTCTTGAAGCTCATGGAGAGAATGCCAAGAGTGTGCAAAGCAGTAATCAGAGCAAAGGGTGGCTATTTTGAAGAAACTAGAATATAAAACATGTTTTCAGTTATTTCACCTTTTTTTGTTAAGTACATAACTCCACATGTGTTCATTCATAGTTTTGATGCCTTCAGTGAGAATCTACAATGTAAATAGTCATGAAAATAAAGAAAGCACATTGAATGAGAAGGTGTGTCCAGACTTTTGGCCTGTACTGTACATAGTGATTGTCACTCACGGGAGCGAGTGCCAGTTTGCCTCTGATCTGGGGCTTTCATCCACAGTCGCCAAGGGAGTGGAAAATCAGTCCTAAAATCGTGTAGCATAAACCCTGCATTAGGGAGTGACAGGGGCATAGATCACGGAACCGGGGGGGCCAGGGGGGCCATGGCCTGGGTAACTTTTGTACTCTGACATAGAGGGCTGCATTGGGATTGGGTCCCGCCGGGTCCCCATTAAACAGTAGAAGAAGAAGAAAAAGAAGAAGAAGATGTAGCCTAGCGACAGGATGTCAACACAGGAACTTGGTGCACATGCATGAGCGTTTCCACTCCATATTTATTCATAAATGGACGAATATGCCCTGAACCAGCTTTCATACCAATTTGCTGCTTGCTCCACCTGTCTGTCTGTCTGTCTGTCTGTCTGTCAGCTCCATCTGTCATGAGACAAACATGAAAGAAGACGTGCAGTTTATTGTGTTTCACCGGCGACGAGCTGTCATTACTTGCGACTATTACGCACGTCTGAGCGCTCTTTATAACTCACTGTGTGAACCTTTGTTGCATAATAAAGATTTTCCCCCTCGTAATTTTTAACCGCCCCCTCAGTAACTTCATCCTGGCGCCGGGCTTGCCTTAACCTCAATCACTGCGTGATTATATAAAGGTAGAAAAATAAATAAATACAGAGGAGGAGAATAGAATATGAAACATCCTGTATTTCATTAAAAACTAAATGAAAACAACGAAATAATAGGAGCGCTATTCCTGACCAGTGCATCAAAAGACATGCAGACCAGGGAAACGAAACAAACAACCTCATGAATCTCTTTATTAATAGCCTATAAAATGATGTGTTTTCTCCTGCAGGACGGGAGAAGACACAAAATCAATGCATCTCTATTAATGTGCGGGCATAAATTCTCAGAGTTTTGCAGGAGCGGGCGGGAGTGGACATACACACGTTGCGGTTGCGGGCGGTAATGGTCAGAAATTCAGCGTTCTGGTTACTTTTCAGTAACTGCGCTGCGCTTGTTTTGTTGGTGTGTTGGTGTGTGTGTGTGTGTGTGTGTGTGTGTGTGTGTGTGTGTGTGGCTCTGCACATCAGTCTGATATGAGTGCTGACTTGTGATGATAATGAATATGATGTTGATTTAGATTCAAGGCAGCAAGATGAGTTTTGGTTGTGCTTGTGGACTGGATGTACTTTGTTGTTTGCTATAGTTTCATCTGTGCATCTGAGCAAGCATGTGTTCATGTTCATGCGTGTACTGTAGATGTGACTGTGTGGCGT